GAGTTGTTCCAAGGGAGAGTGGCCATTTTACAGAATTAAAACTGTCCAGTTTGAGCCCCACACTGAGGACTGAGCAGGATGGACACTCAGGCCCACAGGGAAACTGAACAAGGAATAAGAGGCAACCTGATGTGACTGGGGGGAGAACGGGCGTCAACGTCAGGTGTGGTGACACGGGAGACAGGTCACGGCCTCACCGAGCTCATGTTCACACAGGTCATGCAGATAATTTAGTAAACAAGTGAGAAAGTGTTAGGTGGTGGTGAGGGAAAGAAAAGCCAGCCTGCTGCGTTGGATGATGTCCCTCCGCATGACAGCCCCTGGGTCCACCTGGAACTTCAGAAGGCGACTGTATTTGGAAATAGAATCTTTGAGATGTGAGAAGTTAAATCGAAGTCATGCTGGTTTCCAGTGGTCCCTAAATGCAGCGACTAGTGTCCTTCTAAGAAGAAGAGACACAGAGAGAAGCTGGCCATGAGACTGGGCGGTGCAGACAAAATCCAAGAAACGCCCAGGATTCAGGAGCTGGAGAGGCGGGAAGGAGCCCAGCACAGCCTTCAGAGGAGCACGCCCTGGCCACACCTGGATTCGGGAGCTGTGGGCTCCAGACTGTGAGAGGATGAGCCTCTGTTGTTCCAGCTGTCCAGTTTGTGGAAGTGTCACAGGTGCCCAGGACACTGATAGAAAGAGGTAGAAAAGTCCCTGCCCTCTCTGTGAGTCTCTGCCTTTCCATATGTTGAACTTGGGTTCACAACCAATAATAACCTGTGACCAAATCCTAGGAGTGGCCCCTGATTCATGCTGCCCTAATCCTTTGGGCTTTGCTTCCCAGGTGGCAAGGGCAGCTAAATCCCTGGGTTTTGAGGTCAGGACAACTTTGCTTTGAGCTTACCGGCTTAGAAGATACACTTTAAAGCAAGTCGAGGTAATTACAGTTTCCTAGGAACAGAAAGGTGTTCTTCAGCGACCTCAGCATTTTGGTGCCTCCACCCTGCCTCAGGGTCCCCCCTCCTGACTCCTGGAAACATCTCCATCCTTCCTTGTCATCAGGCCTGAGTCTGGGCCTCTGCTGGCTCCAGCACATCCTGCATCTCTGTTCTGCCTGGGTCTCCTCTGCTGCTCCCTGAGGTCACTCAGTCTCCCCTGCAGGCATTTACATGCATTTTAACACTTCAACACAAAATCACTACAGTGAGACTGTAATGCCAGATTCGTGGGACCCCAATAGACCTCCAGGAGCCGAATCCGATGCAAGCACACAAGAGTCTGTATTGCAAGCTCGAGCCTGGACTCACAACTCTTCCCGACGCACCTGTCACCCCTCAAAATCAGAAGCCCTGCCCTGTTCTAGGCTCAGAATCAGAAGCATTCCTGGTGTTGAGGATCTCACAAGCTGTTTTTGTTTGTTTGTTTCAGCACTGGGGATGGGATTTACTACTCAGCCACATTCCCAACTCCTTTTTATTTTTCATTTTGAATCAGGGTTTCACTAAGTTGCTGAGATTGACCTTGAACTTGTGGTCCTCCTGCCTCTGCCTCCTGAGCAGCTGGGATTATAAGCATGTGCCACTGCATTTAGCTACACAATCCAGCTTTATCTGGTGACCATACTGTCACCCCTGTAGTATATTTCAGTGTATCAATTTAATTGATGATAGGTTCCTTCCTATGGGAGACGGGGTTAAAAAGAATAGGAATCTGGTTATTTCACTCACATCTTTTCTTTTCTGGCCTTATTTGTCACTGTGCTCCAAGCTGCCTCATGTTTGCAGATGCTGGAAGGCTCTGGAAGTGGTGCAAACCTGGGCAATCTCTCTGGCTGATCTGTGGAGACCCCAGGGGACAAAAGGGCTGGAGGTGGCACTGTTGCAGTTAGTGCTGCCAGCATCTCACAATGGCAATGCAACTTTCCCCTCCCGTGGCCCACCCTCACACAGCCAGGGGCCACCTGAGCCCACCTGGGCCTTGGGGCAACCAGATTAGTTGTCTTCTGCCTAGGATGGAATGCTCCGAGGACCTCACGCGCCCTCTCCTGCCAACCCCCACAGTGCGTGGCAAACACCGTTGTCCGAGTCGGAGCCTGTTGCCAGCCTGAGCCAGCCCATCAGTAAGTGCTACAGCTGAGGTCCACACCAGCTGAAGAACCTGGAGAGACCCGGGCCTGGCTCAGGCTCCCCTCCGTGGCTTCTGGAGAAGGGGTTCCTGAAGGCCTAGTGGCCGGCTCAGGTCCTAGCCACGTGATGTCCTTTGTTGCACACCCAAACATCCGAACGCAGGGGAGGTGTGTGGGACTTGTGTTCAGTTCAGAAACGAGTTTAGACCAAACCTGGCCTCAGCCAAAGGTCCTCTGGCATGGCACTTGCTGGCCAGATCCCACTTGAGGGTGGTGCAGAGACCCGGGGTTCTTGGAACTTTCTGGAGAACTTTGCTCCTTCCCTTTACTCTTGGCTGCTCTTTGAGGGGACCTGCCCTAACTGCCTCCTTCTGCACTTGCTGCATTGCTATCCGCAGGAATCCCAGGCTCGGCTCTGCTTGCAGGAGCCTGTTTTCTGTCACTGTTTTAGATCCTGTGCTGGGAGACAAACTCGGGTGAAAACCACACTTTTCTGTTATACAACGTTCATCAAGGTAGACGCGGCGCTCTGTCAGTGAGAGCATGAGACTCTAGAGGACTTGGTAAACGCGGTTCTCGGTGTCCACGTTGTCCCCAGCACTGGAGTGTGCTCCTGGGCTGCAGGCAGTCCGTCCTGGCTGGAGACCGCGGGGCTGGGGAGTGCTTTCCTTTCCCGCTGTTCGACGTCTGCGCAGTATGGGTTTTTCCCAGCACCCCTGCACCCAGCTTGCTTTTGGCTGGTGTTTTGTGGCAGGGGACAGACATGGAGGGCCATGCACAACAGAGGGGCGCATCAGGCAGGCGAGAAGCCTGGTGAGTGGAGGAGAGAGGACGAGCAGATGTCGAAAGGCCCAGAAGACTGAGGGTGCTCTCCTCATGTCCTCACTCTGGGGAAGGGCAGGTAGGGTGGACATGGCCAGGATGTGGCCCTCCTCTGAAGAGTTAGCAATGTCTCTGCACAGGGACACTTGGAACTTTGTTTCAAATCTGAGCAACTGGCAGGAATAAAGAGGAGCCTGTGGAATCATGTAGTTAAGGAAACTCTGAGATCAGGCCTCTCTCTGCCCAGTCTCCAGTTCTAGACTTTCACGTCACCTTTCTGTCCCCAGCTCCTTTTCCTTCTTCCTGCAAAGGCAAAAACCAGAGTGACCATTCTAAATCTCCAGATTTTCAGTGGATGACTAGTTCAAGATCAAGCATGACTGTCACACAGAAAACAAACAGAAAGTTAAGAGCAAGAGGAGAACAAGTGGGCAGAGCCAGAAATCCCACCCAGAGATGGGGAAGGCCACATTCAGGGCCAGCACTGACCTCGGGGGCTGCTCTGTCACAGTGGTTGGTACCTGAGGGGAAAGGGAGAGAAACAGAGAAGGATGTGGGAATGGAGGGCATCCGCTCTGCGGTCAGGACCAGGACCTCTCCCCCGCCCAGGAGGCAGTGCCCACTGAAATTGGAGACATTCTCAGTCTGTGTATAAATGCTGTTTTCATTCTTTCCCGGCTTCTTTTCCTTTTTCTTGTTTCTCTTTTCATCTTTCTTTGGAGAGAAGCAACAAGTAAATGTTTTGGTGGAAATTGAATGAAAAATAGAAGTTAAAACAGCCTACACCATCTCAGAGTCTGCTTGGAAGAGCCCTCCTGCCCTGAGCTCCGTTTCCTGCCACTCAGGTCTCTAGGTCCTTCCCACCTGACTTCTTTGCCATCTGCCTCTTGGCTGGGTCCCAGAAGCTCAGGGAAACCGGCCGGGGAAACGGCTCATCAGCGCCTTCTAGTGGTCTGTGTCCGTAACCCACTCGTGAACAGCCCAACCTCACTGTGAACTTTTTTATTTTTCCCCTCTGATGGGCTATCATTTTTTAAATTTATTTTTTGTTTGTTCTAATTAGTTTTACATGACAGCCACTATTCAACTACCTTATATGCATCCCTCATAACATTATATTTCTATTGTCAAATGAGTGGTTGTATTTGTGATTATCATTTTTTTTTGCCTGTATTATGATGGAATTCATATACCTTGCACTTCACTCATATAAAGTAAGCATTTTAATGGGTTTTAGTGTATTCAGAGCTGTACAACCATCACCACAGTTTGGAAATATTCTTATCAACCAAAAAGAAACTCCTTACTGATTATCAGTCACTCCCCAAGCCCACCCCACCCCACCCTGCCCCCAGGTAACCAATGATCTACTTTTCTGTCTAGGGATTTACTCTTCTGGTGCACCGTCTCCTGCATAAGGGGATCACACAATACTTAGCCCTTCTTGCCTGGCTTATTTCACTTGGCACAATGTGTCCAAGGCCCATCCACGTTGTAGCAAGTGTCAGAACTTCATTCCTTTTCATGCCAAGCCCTGCATCCCACTGGATGCCCAATAATCTCTCATTACATGGACGATCCTCATTTGGTCCATTTGTCTGCTGAGGGACATTTGGGTCGTCCCTTCTTTCCCCATTGACTTATCTTGGCACCCTTGTGGAAAGCCAATTGATCATAAATATGAGGCTTTATTTTCAGATCTTCAATTCTATTTAATTCATGGCCTTTTGTCTACGCCCCCTTACTCAAAGTTGCTCTCTCTCTCAGCCTTCTTGGTTGTGAACACGGATTCTCTGTGGTCTCTCAGACTTTATGTGAGCTGAGTCCTATCCAGAGGGTTTCTGAAAACACCCCTCCCTCTAGGAGGCATGTCACCTGGGAGCTGCGCTACTTTTGGCTGGTGATGGTTCATCCTGTGCTAAGGGACGTTTTGGCTGGAGAGGTACCCCCTCTCCTGCATAAGGACACGCATGCTGCGTGCAGTTCTCGTTGGACTGACGAGAAAGTCAGTCAGTTCTGATTCTCACCTTTGCTTGGTTGGGGCCCAGAGGTCAAGGACAGTGCAGGAGTGGAGTTGGCTGTGGCCAGTAGTGTTTGGGGAACAGGAGCAAGTGATGAAGAGACCCACACCTGGTGCCCTGCAGCACGGCACAGAGCCTGCAGAGGCAGGCGGACCGCACCGTGTCAGCCCAGGGAGGCCAGGTGAGCAGCTGGGTTTTCCCCAAGTTCTCAGAGAATTTAAAACAAGCAGTGACAGGATCTAACCCACCTTCCAAAGACATGTGGCTGCTGTGTTGAGAGTGAGTGGAGGGCTCTGAGTCGAAACGTCCACCTCCTGTCTGTCAAACAGACTTGCTGATGCTCCGTCCTAAGGTAGGTAACCTGCCGGGCAGCCTCTGAAAGTGGGCACAATGACCCCTCTTGGCCAGGACAATGTAGGACAGTTCCTTCCTTTCTGTTGGAAGGGGGTGACACTTCCCAGGGACTCTCAGACTTACCTCATGCTGGACCCTGTGATATTTTCAGGCCCAGAGCATCGGGCCAGGACCCAAGAGAAGCTCTGCATTTCACAGACCTTTGATGTCTAGAGGACACAGAACTCAGGCCCAAACAAACGGGCTTTGGTCATGAGTGGACCAGACATTAGGGCTGCCTCGGACTCTCCTGATGCCCCAAGCCCGTGCATGTGCTCACGGGGATGGGACACCTTCGGCTCTCTCATCCCCTGCCTGCTTATGCTCTCCTGTCCCCTGTAGAGTGGTGAGTCTGCTAGCAACTGTTGGCTCCATGAGGGAGTCCGTGTCCAGCACCTTCCACCTCTCTGTACCCCGTGGTACCCCTGGGAGCATCTGCACATGTCTGGTGCTAAGGGCGGAGTGTCGAGTTGGCCTCAGATGCCACACCAGTTTGTCTACCTTATGTTTTAGGCAGCCATCGATTGAGCTCCACAGACTTGCTTTTCTCTTTTCGTCAAAAGAGAAACGTGATGATCATATTTTTATTTATTTTTTTTTAGAAAAAAAATTAACTTGGGAAAGGGGAATACAAGAGGATTTGGGTCCACTGTGTGCCGGGCAGTTAGATCCCAAATCTCAACTGTCCTGCAGTGCATGCCACAGGTGTCACTCCAGGGGCATGTGTCAGCATAGCACTAGAGACAGACAAGACTGCAGGATCTTGGAGCTGCCGGCTCCAGGGTCCATGCTTTTCCTACACAACAGAGGGGCACAAAGATCTACTTCCAGACCATGGAATGGTGTGCATCATTAAAAAGAAATGAGCTGTCAAGCCACGGAGAGACGTGGAAGCAACTCCAGTGTTCAGCCTGACGTGAAAGAAGGCAGTCTGACTCGGCGTGCTGCGATTCCAGCCCCATGACCTGGGGAGCAGCACAGCATGGAGACAGCCTGCAGACCAGAGGTTGCCAGGGTGGGCGGGGTGGGACCCATAAGCAGAGCACACAGGCTCTGCCAGATAGTGACATGGCAAACGAGTGTCACTGTGCTTGTGTACAACAGTGTAGCATGCACAGTACCCAGAGGGAACCCGAATGTCATCTGCAGTCGTTGGGGTTAGAGTGATGTGCCCATGTGGCACATTGATAATGGGGGAGGCTGTGTGTTTGGGGCAGGGTAAAAGTGGGAGATCTCTGGACTTTTTACTCAATTTTATGGGAACCTTAATCTTTAAAATTAAAATCTATTAAAAACTACATAAAAACCCAGAAGGGAGAATTGGTTTGGAGAAGACACTTATTTTTCTCTGAACCTGGAGATCTTCGCATCGTGGATCGGTGTTCTCTGCTCCACCTCAGTCTGAGCATTGGCCTCTGGTCCTGGCCGACTGAGCAGAGGCAGCCTGTGGGCAGTCTTGGCACCTCACCAGGACTGTGCCTCTGTGTTCAGAGGACTCAGCCCTGAACCAGGTGATGAGTTCCCGGATGCCTTCAGGTCATCATCAGTCAGAACAGGAAGGTCTGGCACGTTGTGAGTCTGTAATCCCCCAGTCCACCAAGGTTCTGGGAAAGACGCTGGCTGTCCCCTGGTGACCAGCTAGACTCTGATTTAGGAGACAGACCCACCCTTTTTTTGTTGTAGGAAAAAAGGGGACAGATTAACTCCAGGTCTGCCTTTTTATTTTAGACCCTGAAACTCCATCTTCTATCATTTTTAGTGAACTATTTTATATTATAAAGTCATGATGTTTTTAATGTATGATTTTTTAGGTGTCTACCTTCTCATGGGTGGAGGTGAGTGAGAGAGAGTGAGGAAGCACCCAGGTAGGGGAATCCTTGAAACCACCTGGAGCCCTTCCCCCAGGTGGCTGCCGGCCTCCCTCCTCCAGGTGCACATGGAGCTCCTGGGACTTTGGCTGGCAGCTCCCGTGGGCTGTGCAGGGCTCTGGGGGTCCCACTGCCTGGGGTGCACTCTGCTCACTTGGCCAGGGAACACGTAGGGCCAGGGAGAACTGCCTCCCCTGAGTACCGCTGCATGAACAGGTGGAGTCATCCCACAGGTGCAGCCAGGTAAGGCCACGTGTACCACCTGGAGCCTGTCTTGGGAGAAGGGAGGAGGGCCATGAGGGAAGACCAGGCTCGTGGCAGGTCCCTCATGTGGAGGCCATGGAGAGAGGGGGGCAGGGAGCCAGAAAGACAGAGCCCATGACCAAGGCCAGGGCTGTCCTTAATGTCATCAGTCACAGGCAGCTCTATGAGTTTCGTTTGCTTTCTTTCCAGTGCCGGAGCTGGTGGGAAGAGACCCCACAGCGCTGCGGGACTTTAGGCATTCCTAAGTGGTTCATCACAGAGGGCTTCTGCGGGCTGCTGTTGTTTCTGTCTGTACCTCCCACGTCTTCCTGCCTCTGCCCCTCACACAGGGTGCAGAGGACAGGGAGCAGAGGCACAGAACCATCCTGTCACAGGAATAACCTGAGTCACATGCTTTGCAGACCAGCTCATGAGCTTGGTTTCTGTCTTATTAAAATCTTTGAGCTTTGAAAATGCAGTATCTAAGAAAGATGCAGGAGAAAGTGCGTTTCTAGATCCACCACCTCCTACTATTAGGCTCCAGCTGACGTGGGTGGTAATCCAGGGTTGGATAAAGCCTTCCCAGAGCTTTGGAAAGATCAAAAGCCCAGAAGCAGCACGTATTTTGAATGTGCCCATCAACTTTGACAGGCTTCCTGTCTTCTGGCGCTGCTGCTGCTGCTGGAGGGCGGCACGTTCTCCCCTCCTCCCTCCTGGCTGCTGGAGGAGCTCTGCCAGCACATGGACCTCCACCAGGATGAATTTGTGCAGGTAGGAGAAGCTGTGCTTCAGTGCATCAGTGACACCCTCTGGGACCTTTTGTGCCAACAACTTGGCTCCATTGAAAATGCCTGTGACCCTGGGTTGAGTTAAGATAACCATGGTCCACCAGGTCTGCGGAAGAGCTCCCTCCTGGCCACTGCTCCTGGAAAGGGCACTCTGTCCATCCCTGGTGCATTCATTTCAGCTGCCCCTGTAGAGATGACCAGCAACTCTGTGGGGCTCTCTTGCTTTGGCCCCTCAGGTGGCCCACTAGCAGTGCCACGTGGCCCCTGGCAAGGTCCAGACAGAGCTGGGGCCCAGAGAGCCCTGGACAGTTGTTGTCAGCCTTGTCTGTGGTGCAGTCCAGGGAGCACTTGGTCTCCTCTCTTGTCACCTTCCTTCCTGCTTACTCCCCACACAGCTGTGGGCACCTGGCGCAGGCATGTGAAGAAGGGGAGGAAGGAGGATGAGGAGGAAGGGAGAGAGGCGGCCAGGGAGCAGAAGAGGGAGGGACGAGTGGGTGACAAGGTGCAGGTGCCTGCGGTGCCCACCCTCTCACTGGGTTGCTTCCCTCCCCCTTCCCTCTACTCTGCCTCTTGTGCCCTCCCTGGGCATCTGGGTAAGGAACCGCTTCTGTGGCCACCGACCTTGCCTTCTTTGGCAAGAGAGGGGCTTACCCTGCTCCTCACCCCAACCCTCAGAGTGCTCATTCCCAGGAAGGAGGAAGCACCCTTCCAGGGCAGGCCTGGGGCCGGGGAGGAGGTGAGTGAAGGTAATCGTGTATGGAAAGACCCCACCCCCGCACCTGAGTGTCACCTCTCAGCTCACTTGACCTTTCCCTTATATTCATATGCAACTTTCTCCAAGGGTCATTCCCCACGGGTCTCCAAGAACTGCATTCTTTCTTCAAAATCATTGCTTAAACTGCCATTTCAACCTTGATGGTGACCCTAAGCCCAAAGCCACCCATTCCCAATGGCAACCCTAAGCCCCAAACCACCCATTCCTATGACAACCTTAAGCCCCATGTCACCCATTTCAATGACAACCCTAAGCTTGATGCCACTCATCCCCAATGGCAGCCCTAAGCCCAAAGCCACACAACTCCTAATGGCAATCCTAAATCTAAGCACCCAGTGCCACCTGCTCTGCATGAAGAACTTCAGAATTATCCAAATTTTCCAGGATTCTACTTTAAGCCAGTTGTGTTCTAAGTTCTTATTGAAGAATGCATCCTACTAACTATACTGTTTGTCAGTGTGTACCTAAGCAAGTACTTGGCTTTTAATCATGTTTTATATTTTTATTAAAAGTGTCTAATGGGACCCATTTTAGAGATGGAGACAGTGAGGCTCAGAAAAATGACACAGGCCCTTCAGCCACCCAGGGAGAGAATGAACAGATTCCTAACGTCATGTTCTGAATCTTCTGGAAGGACCATGGAGGTTTTTAAACCAAGTGATCCATCATCTTTCTGCAGCTGCCTGATAGCCAGAGTCTTCCCATCCCTCCTATCATCCTGGCTGAACTGGGGAATGATCCGAAGAAACCCACCGTGTGCTTATATGAGCACCTGGATGTGCAGCCGGCTCAGGAGAGCGAGGGGTGGCTCACGGACCCCTACACGCTGACGGAGGTGGATGGTCAGTGACATGCTGACTCCTCAGCACCTTGCTCATCTGTGGATAGAGCTTGCTCACAGAGGTTAAGAATTTAAAATGTGACTCTTTCCCCAGGCTCCAGGTCTTTCAGTGTCACGAAGAGTGAATTGAAGAGGCGAGGATATAGCTCAAGGGGAGAGCACTTGCCTAACACATAGGAGGCCCTGGGTTCAATCCCCAGCACTCAAAACAGCAACTACTAATAAAAGGGTGAACAGAAGCCTAGGGTGTAGCTCCATGCAGGAGCATTTGCCCAGTATGCACAAGGCACTGGGTTCCATAGTTGGTTCATTGGGGCTGATTTTCTTTCATTTGAAAAAGAAACTAAGAAGTTCTGTGTCCCTGCATGGGGCCCTTGGGTGCTGAGGAAGACATTTATCTAGGTGAAAACTTTCCTTTTTTTTTTTTTTTTTTTTTAAATACAGGAATTGAACCCAGAGGTGCTCAACCACCCAGCCCAGCCCTTTTAATTTTTTTTTTTATTTTGAGATGGGGTCTTGCTAAGTTGCTTAGGGCCTCACTAAGTTGCTGAGGCTGGTTCTGAGCTTGGGATCCTCCTGCCTCAGGCTGCCTTAGCTCCTGGGGTTACAGGCGTGCACCACCACATCCAGCTTCCCTTTCCTTTTTATAAAATGAACTGTTTCCTTTCATTAGGACAGTATAATTATACATCGTAGCTGACTTCAGTTTGACAAAATCATACATGCATGGAATTTAACTTACCCCACTTCAGTTCCTGGTTCCCCCTTCCCTCCCCTTCTGTCTCCCCCATTCTCATTCCCCTACTGGTCGTCTTTTCACTGGTTTACTTATTTTTCATGGGTACTTTATAGACAAACATGCACATGGAATTAACTGGTGTATTTACACATGCACATGGTGTGATGCTGTCAGATTCATCTGCATTTCCTCCCCTTTCCCATCCCTCCTCCCTCTATCTCATCCTTCTACTCCACTGATCCTCCCTTTACCTTTATGATATACAGCTCCCTCTTTCCCCTTATTTTGCTCTAGTTTCTGCATATGAGAGAAAACATTGACCTTGACTTTCTGAGGCTGGCTTATTTCACTTAGCAGGATGGTCTCCAGTTCCATCCATTGACCAGCAAATGCCATGATTTCAGTCTTCTTTATGGCTGAGTAAAAATAACAAGTATAACTTGTATTTTATACAGAAAAGAAGAAAGGCTGATAGAGACATACATACTTTTTCCCATTATCCTATCAATTGTAAATTCCCAGAGCACATGGCCACACCATGTGCTGCTCTGCAGAAACCTTGGCTTCCTTAACAAACTTATTATTACTGCTGAGGCCCCTGGAATCCATTTATTTAAAACTAGCCTATTCCATCTGACTAGCTGTTGACGATATTGTACATAAGAAATCACACCTTGCAATTTCAGAGGAAGATTTGTGCCTGGAATATTAGAAAGTATTGTTAAAATCATGGCCCATGAAATCACATTGGTTTTTGACTCACTCAGCTTAGCAGACGTGTCCATGCATCATTTTTAATTTTTTTCTCCTATTTTAAAAGAGTAAAAACTGTATGGACGAGGATCTGTAGACAACAAAGGCCCCGTCCTAGCTTGGATTCATGCTGTGAGCGCCTTCAGAGACCTAGAGCAAGTAGGTGGCCAGCTGCGTGGACGGGGGAGAAGAGGGTGGTGATGCCCACTGTGTCCCTCCTAAGCTTCAGTGTGTGACCTGCTTCCCCCAGCATCTTAGGAGGTGGCACTACTGTTACACCCTTCTACAGACGGGGAGAGGAGGGCTTGGGAACTTAGGGAACGTACTCGGAGCGGCCCAGCTGGTGCAGTGACGAGCTCCGAGCATGGGTTCCAGCTGCCTGTCAACCACATTAGAAACAGCAGACACCGTGACGAGCCTGTGGCCACATTACTATCTGCTGTGAAGCTGTGAATTGTCTTTTTCTAAACTCTTTGTCTTTTTTTTAACCTTCTTTTCCTTCATATCATAGAGTATGATTTTTAATAGATGTGTACGTATCTTTTTAAAAATGTGTTAGATATTTTGTAAGTGATCAAGGCAGAAATCTCTGCCTCCTGACAGTTCTGTCTGAATCCTTCCCCCAACAGCTCAGATTGGTGTTAGGAAAGGAAGGCGGGGAGCAGCTTTGGGGGGTGAGCCCACTCTTTCTGGCCACTAGAGGGCATCAGTGGTGGGTCGAGGTTTGTGTCTTTTTTTGTTGTTTTGGTACCAGGGATTGAACCCAGGGGCGCTCAACCACTGAGCCACATCCTAAGCCCTTTTTAAATATTTTGGTTAGAGACAGGGAGTTACTTAGGGCCTCACTAAGTTGCTGAGGCTGGCTTTGAACTTGTGATCCTCCTGTCTCACTGTGATTACAGGTAAGTGCCACCGCGCCTGGCTTGGTTTGGTCTTTAACTGTCTCATGCCTTGCTCTCACAGGATGGTTTTGTCTTCAACCAGCATTTCCTCCTAAGGAATGTGCTTAGACTCCCACTGAGATCAAACCCAGCCACGTGGCTGTGGGCGGTGACTTACTCTCTCTGGGCTCTGAATTCTGTTCTGCAGAAGTGAGTCACTGATTTGGACTGTGCCCTCCGCTGCTGCTTGACTGCACTCAGATGTGGCCTGTCTGGATGGTGCCAGCTGAGGCAGGGAGACTGGCCTCCTCACTCCCCACTCCGGGGATGTGGCCACCTGCTAGTGAGGATCTCTGCACTGTTGCGGGGCCAGCTCTGTGCTTAGGGAACCTGTGAGGAGAGGAATGGCGTGGGAAAGGGAGGACACTCACCCCAGCTCCCAGGGAGAGCCTCCTGCTAGCTGCTCCCTGGTGTTACAGTGGGGGATACTGAGCTCCAGGCCTGGCCAGAGGCCCTGGGGCTGAAGGGCAGGCTCCCAGCTCCTGGGGACTGCTGCCTCACCCTCCTCCACGCAGGAGGAGCTCCGGGACGGGCCGAGATGGCCTCAGCACTCCAGGAGCGTCTCTCCTCTGCCCGCACCCAGCTCACTGGGTGCCCATTACTCACAAAGATTCCCAAGTAGCTAATGTTGATGTTGTTGGGTGTGGTGAGGTCACAACAATGACAATGTTGGTTTCATGGGTGGTGGGACCTGCAGGGATTTAGATTTGATCCCACGAAGCATTTGTTCTGGTGCAGAAGGATTTTATGGTTTGGAGCTAACTTTAGAAATCCACAGCCTCTCTCTCTTCCCCTCGTCTTACATTACTAATTGCATTAAGCACTTTCAACAAATAAATACTGAAAAAGAAAATGGGGCCCCTTTGTTGGGTTCATGGGCAAAAGAGAAACTGGCTCCATTCACAGAGCAGACCCCGCTGGCCCTTCCCCAGAAGGGAACTGGTACACAGTGCGGAAGCAGAGGAGGTTGGGGTTCAGCCTTGGGGTCCATCTCGCCTGTGCTGGGGAGAACTCAGAGGAGGGCTCAGTCTCGGGGCCCCTTCCCACAGGGCGGGCCAACACAGGCCGCGCGGAGCAGCGAGCCCTGCCCAGGAGCCCAGGCAGAAAGCACCTCTCCCACAGGAGGCCCAACAGAGCAGATGCCAGGGCTTCTCTTGCAGGAGTTTATTTTCTCCTCAGACATAAGCCAATGAGAAGGGAGGGGACCACTCACCCCTTTATCTCACGGAGAAAGACAAGGGCAGTAATTAGAACGTTTCTGCTGGGTCCTGCTGATCACTCCAAAGCTGTCTTTTTACCCGCTGCACCCACTGAACAGCCCTGTGGCTGTTCCACCCTCTTTTGTGGCTTCTCTCCACCCTCTTCCTCACTCACCTGCCTTCCTTCCTTTCATCTGGATGCCGATGTTTATTTTAAAATCCCTATATAAAGGTTTGATTTGGTTTTTAAATTTCAATTCTGAAAATTACATAAATATAACAAAGAAAACAGAGGAAATATTCACTACCTGTGGACAAGTCCCTGTTCTCTCTGAGCCTCATGTTGCTCATCAAGGGGAACAAGGAACAGTTTTCCTGAGAAGATTAACTAAAGAAACATGTGCAAAGGCTCTGTGGTAGGATCTACCCTTCCTGAGGGCCTCTTTTCTTCTTGCCTACAGAGAACTTAATCATACCTTACCTCCTGGGGCTATCTCACTAGCGGCAGAGTTGGTGTTAATATTCATATTTCATGGGTAGAGAACTGAGTGACCTAGAAGTGACATGTCTGAAGTTTCCTGAGGAACACAGCAGACCTAACCTGAACTTGACGGCTGGCCCACTTGTCCCCCAACACTTAGTCACTATTGGTTTGGTTTATGTTTTATTAAATGTGGCTTGCCAGCAAATTCTCAAGATTTCCAACTATGTCTCAGTGATTGTGTGCTCTTGTGTGTTAATAAAGACCCTCTGAACATTTCAGAACCTCAGCACTCCTCCTTGAGATGCTCAGAGGGATATTAACACGTTAAGTAAATCATTATCCCCAAAGGCTCTTATCAGCAGGACGACGAAGGTCACCGATGTTCCCACACACCGCCCTGCGTTTGTGGATCCCTGGAGCCAGTCCACCCGAGGACTGAGGAGCATGCACGTGTGCGTGGATCATCCACCCAGGGTCCCTGTTCCAGTCCTCCCAGCCTTTGCTGTGCTCTAGCAAAAGACCTTGGTCTCCTCTCTTAATGCAGCTCTCTCTCAAAGACGTGAAGCTGTAAATTATACAGAGAAAAAGGATCAAAACTGGATGGGAAAGGGGGCATGTTGTAAAAATTTTAAAGGAGCTGTTCTGTGCCCTAATATTAACTAGAGAAAAGCTCAAGCTCCTTTTCGCTGCAAGATCAAAGCCTTTGAATAAGTTAAAAGGCAGATTGAAATCATAGCTGAAAAATAATAGGTACTGGAAAGATTATCCTGAGGCTTAATAATCTTTCAAAAGAAAGAAGTTCTCATTTGCCATATGCAGAAATGTGAGGGCAGAGGGCGATGTGTAACTGAGAACTTTCTTCAAAAGTTCCTTTCGGGGAGAAGGAGGAAAATGCTGCCCTCCGAGCTCGGTAAAGCTCCATGCTGCGGATGCTGCTTTTTCTCTAGAAATGTCTTCCTCAATTCCATATGAGAGCATTAGAGGACAGGCCACATGGAGAGACTCACTAGGCCTCACCTAGCATTTCCTTCCACAGTTTAGGGTAGAAGTCTTCCTGTGAACAGAGATGCTGGAAAGGCAGATGGTTCATACATCGACTGTAAATGAGAATTCAAAGAGCCCAAGTTGAACACAGAGGAATCCTGGGTGTTTAGACAGTGGGCAGGGCAGGCATGGTTTCCTTCTCTGTGTACCCAGGATCTCCCTGTGAATTCCAAGTTCATCCTTGAAGGGATGGAAGAAGCTGGTTCTGTTGCCCTAGAGGAACTTACCAAAAAAGAAAAGGACCGGTTCTTCTCCGGTGTGGACGACATCGTGATTTCAGATCATCTGTGGCTCAGTCGGACGGAGCCCGCGCTCACTTATGGGACTCGAGGGAACAGCTACTTCCAGGTGGAGGTAAGGGTGGGAAAGGAGCACAGAGAGAGGTATTTGGGGCTGTGGACAGGAGGGAGGAAACTGTTCTGGGAGGAAGAGGAAGACAGGAAGCTCTTATCTTGCATACAGCCTGGGGGCAGGGGCTGGGGGTCATAAAGGTCTTAGGGTTTCAGGATACAGTTATGAGCTCTCCAAAACTTGGAGAAGATGAGGCTTACGTGCATTTTTTTCCCCCTGGGGAGGAGAGAAGATTGCTAGGGGTTTGTCACTCATAATCCCAAAGGACTAGTAACCATGCTTGTGGACTGTGGAGGCAGGAATAGCAGCCCACAGGGTGGACTTCCTAGGTGGAGGCTGGGAATGCTATAACACTGCCATGGTGTGTGTCGGCCAGGTCTGGTGGTTACCACTGGGGTGTCCAGTTAGGGTCTAGGTCCTCAGTGTCCTGAACAAAGAATGGAGCAAGACACACAAAGGTAACAGGCAAAGTATAGACTTACTGAAGGTGAAGGTGATACTGGTGTTGAGAACCAGGTTTAAGCCCTGTTTCCCCTGGTGCTGAAAACGGACACCCAAGGAACACAGGGCAAGCACAAAAAGTTTTATTTAAAGGATAGAATGGGGTTGGGGTGTCCTCCACAGAGGAGGAGGGGAAGTGCTTTGCAGGCATTAGCACTTTATTTCCTCTTAAACCAGCCCCCCGTCTTCCTGACCCAACCATTCTTTACCTCACCAAGGGTCCCCCGTCATCGCCAAAGTCGGCCTTCAGTTCATCCCCTCCCACCATCCCCAATCTCCTGGCCCCCAGCATGTTGCCATCACGCCATCCGATATTCTGGTCTGACCCATATGTTTCTTCTTTTCCCTTTTCTATTGATACAGGCAACCTGTGATCAGGCATATAATTTAGAATCAGAGTTCCTCCTGGCTAACTGATTGATGATTTAGCCACTGTGTTCTGTTTTCTCATATAACAATATGTAGACTTATGAATTGACAAGACTATTTAACCCGGGCAGTTGTGAGACTCGAATGTGATGGAGCAGATGGAACGTGGTGCATTCTCTGCCTCAGGGCATTTACTGCTAGGAGATACAGGGGTCTATAGAGATGACCCGGGAGTGAAAGGGAAGCAGGTAGCAGGGATGTCTTATTCCAAACTCTTCCAGGAAACTTGGCTATGAGAAGGAGGAAAGATGGGTCAACAGCTGGAGGGAGCACAGAGCCCCCGAGAGCCCTAGGAGGCAGTGGGAAGGGGGAGCAGCAGGGACCTGGGAGAAAGGTGGGGCATATTAATGAGAACAAAGGCCTTGAGGAGACGGGCCGAATGAGATCCTGAGCTGAGGAAGGCGTAACCTCTTCTGCAAGGCTAGAAGGTAGGTAGAGAGAAAAGTTATGCAATGTCTTTTTTTGTTGTTGGTCTCCATTTTTTCCCCTGCTGAGTAGGAAGCACGTGCACCTGCAGAGAAGTGACAGTCTGAAGTGGTTGCCATGGGGATGGGAAGAGGACCCACCAGAGCAAGAAGCGCCAGGCAGTGTTAGGGTGGGTGGCACCTGTCCCTGGATACCTTGCCACATCTGTGCTCAGTAGCTAGGGCCAGAAAAGGCCCAGGAGGGTAAGGTTGACCTAGGTGAGGGTGTTCCAGATGGGTGTGATAGAGGGCAGAGGGAAGCAAACTAAGGTGTGGGCCCAGAGAGGTGATAAATCGTGGCATTTAGGTTAAGAGGGGAAGATAGACAGGAAATAAATAGGTTGGAAAATCTTGGAAGGGTCAATTAACTGAATGTCCTGATGAGGACCAAGACCATTGGTAGTAAAGTAACGTGGAAAGAGAGGGGGGTGAGAAATTGGGATCAGAAGGAAGGACGAGGCAGCTTCAGGTTTTGGAGGTGACACTATAAACTCCAAAGTGCTCTAGTTAGTGTTATTTCCTAATAAAATAAAGTGACCAAACGGAAGACTCTTCTGGCAGCACATTAGGGATGGATTGGAGCAGGAGAGGACCAACTGGTCAGCAGGCACAGGAGGGAAGGAAATGAAGAGACGACTTAAAAATCCAACTGGCAGCTGATTGGGTTTGTGTACCTAGGAGAAATCAAGCTGGTAGGATGTAACTGTAGCAGAAGATGTTGAATTCATTTCTAAATCTACCGAACTTTAGAAACTAGAAGCAGTGTCCCACTCAAGTGGAACACACTGTAAGCGACCAAAACTTCCAGGTCTGGGCTTAGATAAAAGTCAGACCTCAGCAGGGAGTATGGAAAAGATGGAGACAGGAAATGATATCTGGGAGACCTCCAGGTACAGAGGAAGAAGCATCAAGGGTGGATCTTTAGAGGTGGGAGGAACAACAGGAATTATTGGAAGGGACAGCAAGAGAATTGCCTACAGGCAGGAAGGGACTGAAGAGAAGAAAGTTCCTCAGAAACCAAGGGAGGGGTTCTTCAGAGGTGATTGGCAGTATGGGCTGAAGCCAAAAAGAAGTCAGCCGTAGAACATCAGCGATCTGGCCGAGGAGAACCTGGTGATCCTGGTGTCAGTGGAAGGGTAGGGGATTGAAGTCAGCCTCCGGGGATTCAGGAAAGAGTGGGAAGCGCAGAAGCAGAGAGTGGCAGAGTCTCCAAGTTACATGACTGAGAAGCACAAGCAGCGTGGTCAGGTCTGAAGGTCGCCTCGCTCAGTCCTGAGGGACACCACTGTTGCATGCCTGCCACCAGGCAGGACCCAGCGGGTAAGTATATCCTTCTCTTTTACCTATTTCCCAGGTGAGATGCAGAGATCAAGATTCTCATTCAGGAACCTTTGGTGGTGTCCTCAGCGAGCCCATGGCTGACTTGGTGGCTCTTCTCGGTAATGCCTTATTTCATTTCCCCCTTTAAGCATCAAATAATCTCATCAAATTCAGTTCCGTTTGACTCTCTTCACCTCCCCTTCAGTTTCTGAACCAGCTCTGGAGTGGGTGTGGTACGCAGGAACACGCTGCCTCAGCTCTCTCCCCTCGGCTGCACCTTCCCGAGGCACAGAATTAAGACCATGCCATTTCTTCCCATGGACTCAAACTCCTTTCTTGTATTGGATATTATGACACATCCAGCCACCAGTAAGGAAAACAGTGAGGAGACCACAAGGACCAGGAGACGGGGACCATCTCTGACTCCCCCTGAGGCTTCCCACACACGGGTGGGAGAGGGGCGGTGGTCCCAAGCCAGCAGCCCCACAGGTCCACCTCAGCAGAGCAGGCATAACTTTTTGACTGCAGATAAATCAACAAAATGATGACCAAAGGGAAAGCCATCTCACAGGTGAGGCCCTTGACACTCTCCCAGCAGCCTCTTGTGTCCCACCACAGGAGGAGCTATGGCAGCCCGCCCCGGCCCAGGGGGCCATGCATCAAGCAGGCGGGTTCTGGGTGGTTGTGACTAGTTGTGTGCCTGCTCTGCCACAGACCAGTTCCATGACATTGGCAAGCTACTTAAGTTGTCGAGGTTTTGGTTTTCTCATCTGCAAACAGGCATAATCCTAGACTTGCCTAGGAAGTGTGTTTTGAGGGCCCTGGAAGAGACCCACAGAGATCACTTCCTGTGGTGGCCGGAACAGGATGTCTGCAGGAGACTACTGATTTGCCAGCCTGAGGGAGCAGCTCTGACCTTCCCAGGGATTCTAGAGATGGTGCCAAGCATGCCAGCCTGCTCGGCTTCGTTTTCCAAGGTTGCTGTGGCCCAGACTGGCACAGGGATGCCAGTGTGTCGGCTGGCAGGACCCAGCATGGACCACTGCTCCCCATCTCTTGTGGGCAGACTGATATGTGTAAGCAGAAGGTTTTTCTCAGGAAGCCAGTTTGTTCAGGCTTGATCCCGTGGTGGCTCTTCCCTGCATCACGGCTGCCCATGGTGGATTCTCCGGAAGCCAAGGAGGCTTCAGCTTCAGGACCCTCTCTTGCTGGCACTGTGAGGCACTCCTGGGCATCGAGACTGTTTCCTGTGGGCAGTTTTCAGGGCAGCGTGGTCTACCTCCTGAGAATTTCCACCCCCATTGGTGGAGGTAGCTGCAGAGACTCCATCAGTGCCCAGGTCCTGACTTCAAGGGCAAAGAGAGCAGGAGGGGAGGGGTCAACTCTTAATGGAGCCAACACACTTGGTGTGAAAGCGCTGGGTGAGAACTAGCAGGGGCAGAATTATTTCTGCAGAGCAAAGACATTAACCTTTCCTTGTTTCCCAATCACCAAAGGAGACAAGGACCCAGCAGCACCCCACAGCTCTCCCTAGTCAGATTTCTCTGCAAGGGAATGAGAGGGAAAGGAAAATGAGGAAATGCTCTATGTCCACGGGCACCGTTCCCAAGCTGGTAGTTGGAGAAGGGCTGTGCTGCATCCTGAGAAAATGGAATCATGATTTAAAGTGAAGCTGCTGACCACTTGTTGGGAAAGATGGTCCTGTGCAGACTGAGGACATGGCTGCCACCCTCACAACTGGCAGAGTTGGGCAGCACCAGCTGCAGTGTCGGGGCAGACGTCACCGTTTAGGTTCAGAGTATGAACATGAGCATCCTGGCTCCTGGGGGCACTCTTGGCAAAACACTGCCAGGTTCTGTGTCGTGTTGGGCTACAGGGACTATGCCCTTGGTGTCCACTCATCCTTCCAGGTTTAGCTGACAGCCATGTGGCCTCATTGGCCTCCTGGTGACCCCTGTGCTCCTGTGTAGGTCATTCCCTGTCATGGTTTGCATGTGAGGTGTCCCCCAGAAGCTCCCACGTGAGACGATGCAAGAAGTTTCAGAGGAGGAATGATTGGGTTGTGAGAGTCTTGCCCCAATCAGTCCATCAGTCCCTGATGGATTAACTGAGGGGTACCTGAGGCAGGTGAGCTGAGGAGGTGGGGCTTTGGGCTGTGGCTGGGGTGTCTATTTGTATCTGGCAAGTGGAGACCTCTCTCTGCTCTGACCATCACGTGAGCGGCTCCCCTCTGCCACACTCTTCTGCCGGATGCACAGCCTCACCTCGAGCCTGAGGAATGGAGACACCGTCTATGGACTGAGACCTCTGAAACTGTGGGCCCCCAAAGAAACTTTTCCTCCTCTAAAGTTGTTCTGGTTGAAACTTTCAGTCACATCAGCGAAAAAGGTGCCTAAAACATTCCCCATTCAGAGCTCCCCTCCTTGACCCCATGAACCCTGGGCCTGGGTCTCTAGGCTGGACCGTGGGCAGGGTCTGTGTCTTAGGCCTTCCCACAGCTCTGCCCTGACCTAGGACACAGGAGGCAGAAATGCCCCAGGGAAGACTGGTGATGGCATTATTGGTGGTGTTCTGATGGTTTTGGTGACAAAGAGAGAAGGTAGGCAGCAAAGCCTTAGCAGCCAGTCCCCGGCCCTCGGCAGCAGCTTCTTTAGACTTGAGTCTCACTCAGGGGTTGGGATGGCTTACTCCATCTACAGTGCGTCCCCTGGGTCAGCGGGGGTGCGGTAACACAGGACTCACAGCACAGTGGCCTGCGGCACATCCTGTAGCGCGGTCACAGAGGGAACATAGTCTGGGGAAGCGCAGTGGGACCAGGAGAGGGGCAAGGAGGGGTTGGTGGAAATGGTGGAATTCCTCCCCTTCCCCTTCTGCTGCCGTGGAGACTCAGTCCTCAGGCTGAGCCTCCTGTGGCATTCTCAAGGTGCCGGGAAGCCCACTGCTCACACCACCCCTGCCTGTGGGTGCCGGCACGCATTCTCCTGGCTTTTCTGTGTCGACATAGAGCCCAGAACCCTGGCCACCTGTCTGCTCGTGTGGTTCCCGTGGTTCCTCTGTGGTCAGAGACGGTGCCTCATTGATGGAAGGCAGGGTCTTGTGTTTCCGCACGTCCTAGCCTTGACCAGTAACTAGGTGTCCGTGCACAGGTGGCTCAGGGGCTGAAGATGAGCTTGGGACTGCTCACCTGAGCTAAGATCTTAAAACGTAGTTTTCTGTGTCATGTTCCTCCCCCAACATGGTCTTGGAGTCACAGTGAGAATATGAAATGTGTTATTTGTGAAGTGCCTTCACTTGAATAAAAGTCCCTAGATGAACTGAGGGTGAATGTAGCTGCCCCGAGACATTTTTGTATTATCTATATCAATCTATTTCCTGGTTGAGTATTATCTTTGATAGGTGTTTTCTCCAGACAGTGAGCAGTGTTTACTAAATCTCAGCATGTGCTTCCTTCATAGATATTTGTTGATGATTTTTTATTCTAATTGATCCCCAAACTTTTAAAAAATATTTTTAGTTGTAGATGGACATAATACCTTTATTTTGTTTATTTAGTTGTTTTTTTTTATGTGGTGCTGAGGATTGAACCCAGTGCCTCACACAAGCTAGGCAAGTGCTCCACCACTGAGCCACAACCCCAGCGCCCCCACCAAACTTTTTAATAAAGAGCAGTTTAGTGTATATACTTATTTATAATAAAGTATTTTGTATTTGTCATGGAGTAGACTTCAAGGATATTATGCTTTTGATTAAAAAGAAGTATTATATAATTCATGGGGGTGTAGGGAGAGAGTTGAGAAGGGATGATAGAAATTTTCAGTTTTTCATATTTACGCATATACATATGTACATGTATACATATATGTATATGTTTTAAAATATTTTAAATGAACACATTACTTTTGAACTCAGGATAAGAGAATTTGAAAATTAACCTTGTTTATGATACAAACAATATAGTTGAGAACTTGCACCTGACACAGGTGAGCCTCATCTGATTTAATCGATTGCAGACCCACGATTCCAGCCCTGCCTTTGATCAGGTGGACATAATAGCACACTTGACTCTGGCTGAGTCCACCTGGTGATCAGCTTTTTCCTCTGACCATTACCTCTTGAGTGTAATCGCTGCCAGTGGCTTTGGCTAGGTGGATCCGGGACAGTCAGGAGGCCGGCTGTCACCCAGGAGAGCTGGCTCACTCCAGTGGCACAACATCAGCACAGTCATCACTTCTACCTGCTTTGTTTCCTCTGTGCGTTTTGTAGGAAGCCTGGTGGATTCCTCGGGTCATATCCTGATCCCTGGAATCTATGACCAAGTGGCTCCTCTTAGAGAGGAGGGAAAAAAACTGTATGAAGCCATTGAAATGGACCTAGAAGAATACCGGAATACCAGCCAGGTTGAGAAATTTCTGTTTGATACCAAGGTACGGCAGCAGCCACATTTCCCACTGTGTAATTAGCACCAGAGGGCGCTAATCTGCACATATTAGAACCTAGTGATGCTGGTTCCTAGGCAGATCTGGACGTTCACAGCTCTTTCCTATGCTCTGCACCAACCAGTCCTGTTTCTGGGATCCAGTAGGCATTGGCTTCAGGCACCCAACCATGAACGAGGACTAACTACACAGCCATGCTTTTCCAAGGTAGTTTACTAACTTAGATCCAAGCCAGCCTGCAGCCCGGCTGCTGAGATTGGGAAGAACCTGAGTCTGCTCCAGCTCTAAGGCTAACATGCATCCTGCCAGCCCCACCCCGGAGCCGCAGGGACTGATCTACAGGGCATGCTGCTTCCTCTGTGCCCTTGGGAAACCCAGAACCCCAGCCGTGGTAACTGGCCGACTTAGTTTAGTTTTTTGTTGTTTTGGTTTGTTTTCTCCTTCCCCTCTCTTTCTCTTTAAAATACTTACTAAGGTGTTTGGTAGCTATGGCTGATTCCTGGGGAAAGTAACAAGAGGGCAGAAACATGCTGGAAAAAGTGGGAGCGTTCACTGGTACGAAGTGTGTCTCTTCCTCCAGACTAAGTCTGTGGTGCCACAGCTGGAGAGGAAGGTGGCTCTGGCTCTGAAGAGGCCTTTGACGTCTTCTGAATGATTGTGGGACACAAGTGATCACTATCGTGATGGCAGATAGAAATTTATAATTGAATCAAATTTCTGAACAGGCCCTTTGTTGCCTATTAACAGCGAACTACAGAACCTGGGCAAAGAGAGGACCTTGGTAGTGGGTGGCGTTGTGGGCAAGGGAAGGCCACAGAGGAAGAGGAGCCCCGTGTCCTGAGAGAAGTCCGTTTGTGCTGCTGCTGTGGACACAGCTGAGTTAGGTGCTCGGACACGCAGGTGCTGCTGGGACACACAACTTAAGTCACTTGAGTGTTCTTGGATGCTTTTATTTCCATTTAGGAGGAAATCCTCATGCGTCTGTGGCGGTACCCATCTCTTTCTATTCACGGGATGGAGGGTGCGTTCGATGAGCCTGGAACTAAAACAGTTACACCTGGCCAGGTGATAGGAAAATTTTCAGTCCGTCTAGTCCCTCACGTGAACATGTCTGTGGTGGAGAAACAGGTAACAAATGTCCCTTGCTACTGTGCCTGTCAGTTCCTGAGTCCCGCACACCACAGTACAGTGAGCAGTCGGTTGTTACCAGGGAAGTATCATCTTTCTAACGAAAGAGCTGGAACAAATGTCAAGAACCAGCCTCAGCCTTATTCGGTAAACATCTCGTTCCTCAGTTATACACAACTGTAGCCGTGTGATAAATGACCATTTGGAGTTGTGGAGATGGGAAGCTTTTAAAAATTAGATGGGCGCTATAAAGGCAAGACTGGATCTGCCTGTCGATGAGCAGTGACTGCCCATGGAAGGATGCAGGCAGAAAGCTCAGGCCCCATCGTCACTTTTCCCTTGATGTCTGAAGTCAGCCGTTTGAAGCAGCCCCTTTTAATGAAGATATCATTTGGAAGGAGTGACATGTCTCAGTCACCAACCCATCATCACTTTGCCTCCAGTGAGTTTAACGGAGCGTGGAGAAGCCCCAACCTGACCCTCAGTGGCTCTTCTTCCCATCATCCTCTTCCACTGTCTGTTGGGCACTGATTACCTTCCCTGTGCCCTTCCCTCCGCGCTTCCTGGCCCAGGGTGCATGGCCCCTCTTTCTACAGCTGCACCCCCAGGGCCGGGTCTTCTGTGGCTTGTCCACAGCACCTGGACAGTCCTGGACATTTGCTGAAGGAGTGACTGGAGGGGAAGTTCAGGATGGCCCTCCCTGGGAGGAAAGAGGCCCGGGGAGGGAGGTGCTGAACTGTCTCCTTCACAGTCTGGCTTGGCATCGAGCCCTCTCTTCAGAAAGTTCCCCAGATATTCACTCGAATGCTAATAGATCCCCACACAAGGACATTCCAATCCCGCAGTTGTATCATGTTTCACACTTTTCTCAGAAGTTACTAGAACACCACGAAAGTATCAGACGCTGTGGGTAAGAATGGGGTGGGGACAGGCGAGGGGCTTGCAGGGAGAGGGGAAGAGCCAAGTGCAGCCCGGGGTGGAGCCCAGAGCCTCTTCCCAGGGCTGAGAACCCTGCCCTCTGTGTGGCACCCTCTGGAGTTCCCGTGTCAGGTTGGGATTTCAACCGATTCTTGAATGGGAGACTTTGTCCCCTGGGTGAGCGGAAACGGACGTTCCCTCTTACGGTGGAAACATTGCCTTCTAGGTGAAGCAGCACCTTGAGGACGTGTTCTCCAAAAGGAACAGCTCTAACGGCGTGGCTGCTTCCATGACACTGGGACTTCGGCCGTGGATTGCAAACATCAGCGACATGCGGTATCTCGCAGCAAAAAGAGCCATCAGCAGAGGGGGGACCATAGATGTTCTGACTTGCCAGTTTACAGTGGAACCAGGGGGTCCTGCCTGTGGGACAGAAGCAGGCACTTCTGAAACTCCGGGGTTGACTCTCCTTTGCGTCTACCACCTATTATTGAAGGTGCCCTATGCACAGAGTGCTTCCTACCACTGTCTCAAGCGATCCAACTGCCTTCTCCATTTCACACAGGGGGAAATTAGGGGTTCAAGAGACTACGTAACTTGTTGAAGGGCACATATCTCAGTGGCAAAGCCAGGGTACCAGTTCAAATCTGGAGACCTGAATTTTAGGGAAAATGAGGGCCCAGAAAAACTTGAAACCCTCTTGATGCAAAGATCATGGAAATATTGGCCAACATACAAAAATCCTTTCAAAAACAGACTAACCCATATGAACGAAGGAAAATCCTTTGAGTTACAAATGAAAGAGAAACCACAGTCTGGTGGAATAGGCCAGCAGACATACTGCCCTGCGGGCCTCTGCTCTCCCTGGGCAATAAGAGGCCAGCGCTGCGATAGCCTCAGGCCAGCAGGAAGCAGGGAGTTGGACAGAAACCCCCTGCACAGAGATCAGAATCCCCCAGAGCCCTGTTCAACGCTGTGTGTGGCAAGCTTGACCTTCTGGTTTTTGTTCTGGATGAAAACAAAGTCTCCCCTGAGAATTTCTAAGCATGGACCCATTCCCAAATATGTTGTCTTTCATTTCTGCTTTGGGTGTGGACCTCCTGACTGATGCCAACGCCAGACTGCCCTGGAGAGACACAGCCCCACGGGGGGCCATGAGAGATATCCAGGGAAGGGCTTCCTGGAGATGGACTTGTTGTACAAAGTCAAAACCCATGAGAAACCCAATGCCAGTCCATCCAGCTCCGAACCAGTGATCTCACAGGCCTCGATACTTCTCCGGAAGGCAGCATGGTTTTGTTTGGCGTTTCCTGGGTGGTGCTTATTTTAATTCTATGTTCTTCAAAGTCCTGGGCAAGACATATATATGATGGGACAACAGAGGGAATATGCCTGGGCTTTGGATGCCAGGACAGGAGGAAGAAATATCTAGTCTCGTTGGTTTCTACTGCAAGAGGGACAATCTGCCAATTATAGCAAAATGGGGGCCCCTAAACATGGGGAGAGTTTTGGGTGTCCCCTAAAGAAAGCTGGGCAAACACTGGCAAGTGTTAATATAGATCTATAGCCCAAAGCTATAGGTGGGGCCTGAGGCTACACTACTCTGAGAGGTAGAGCTGGAATTTAGAACCCAGAGCTCACTGCAGTCCTAATTTCCCAATGGTATTATCAGTTTAAGAGGCATAGCTATGAAAATTAGAGAACAAGTCCAACACTTAGAGCCACATTTCTCTACATCATAATTCCTACTGCCTCAATTTAGCAGGTATTTTATTAATAAAAATTGAGAGAGAAGAGGAAGAAGAGTTAGGAAGGTGGAGAAGTTGAATATTATGCCAGCTGAATAGAAATGTGTGTTTGAAATGTCAAGGTTAACGGCCATGGAAAGATCCCACATGCTCCTGATGAGTGCTCCTTTTGGTCAACTGTGTGTGACCCAGTTCTGCTGAGAAGGCACATCACTTAATTCACTTTCACACGTTGCTTTGTGATTAAGAAAGAGGTAGCATATTCTCTTTCATTTCTTTGTTTTAGATTTTATTGCCGGTCAATCACAGGTAGTTTGTTCTCTGAGCTAGAGGGTTTGAAGTCATCTCTGTCTAGAACTGAGGGTAGCAGTTGAAACTATTTGATGTGATCCTTTGAAAATTGGGAGAAACACTGTGACATTCAAGTGAGAGTGGAGGACAGATATTTGTTTGTATATCTGTTACCAAAAAAATTACCCAAGAAAGTCCCACTTCCATAATATTTAGTTCATGAAGAAACTCTTAAAGTGGGCACATTATCTTGTGTCTTGCCCACAATTCATGACCTCTTCCAATGACAACAAAATATCAGGCCATCCCGAATTGAGGAGCATCTTACCAAACAACTGATCAGTGGATTCTTAAAGAAGGTCAAGATCACAAAAAACAACAAAACATTGAGAAATGGTCACAGGCTAGAAAAGATGAAGGAGAAGCAATGATAAAACACAGTGTGGGACTCTGCACTGGGTGCTGGGAGGAGAGGAGGAAAGACGGTGGGATCTGTGAAGTTTGGAGCAGGGTTCAGGACAATGTCAGTTTCCGGATCCTGATCATCGCACAACAGTTGGGTGTATTAACGTGCTGGAAAAGCAGAGTTAGGGATATATGGGACTGCTTTCTGTACTATTTTTATAATTTTCTAAATTCTGAACTTTTTAAAAATTAGTTCAAACAAATTCAAAAAAAGTTTTTTGAGTATGTAATTGTAAAGAAGGATTCCACAGGTTTCTTCTTGACTGCTTCGTTCATTTTAGAACACAAGTAGCTGATATCAAGGAGCTTACTTACCCTGGCCCAAAGCTAATGTTAAAAATGAGAAAGAAAAAAAAAAGAAAAAGAAAGATAAAGCAAATATCCCATTTGAGGTTAGTAGGGTCAGTCCTGTTATATATTCCACTGCCTTCTCTTTCTTGTGTTTCAGTGTTTGGAACAGAACCAGATATGATGCGGGATGGGTCAACCATTCCAACAGCCAAAATGATCCAGGACATCATTCAAAAGAGCGTGATGATGCTTCCACCGGGGGCTGTTGATGATGGGGAACACTCTCAGAGTGAGAAGATCCACAGGTCAGCAGGTCCCTGTGTGGACTGGGTCCCGCTGCACAAGCCCAGGGGTGCATGTGGTCAGGCCCCCTCTCCTTAGGTGACAATGGAGAACCCCATGTGGGGTGGCTTAAGCATCAGACATTCGTTTTCTCAGTTCTGGACGCGAGGAAGTTCTGGGTGAAGGTGCTGGTTGATTGGGTTCCTGGTTAGTGCTCTCTTCCTGGCTCTCAGACCACTGCTTTCTTCCTGTGTCCTCACCTGTTGCAATCGAGGGGCGGAGGAGAGAGAGAGCCAAGGAGCCAATGAGCTCAGGTCTCTTCCTCCCTCCGCGGGCACCAGCCCTGGGGATTACGTTTCACGCTGCTGATGCAGTGACCTTCACCGGTTTCTCTAAGGTTCCACTTCCAAATACAGTCACATTAGGGGTTAGGGCTTCAACAGGAGAATTTTGGGGGTCATGACATTCCGTCCATAACAAAGAATATTTAGGCATGTTTGACACAAACCTCCTAAGTCTCCTATACTAGTAAGAAACAAGAGCATGTGTGGTTCTGATATCCATGTCATGTCAATCATAAGAAACCAAGGAAAATGAACTTTTTTTTTTTTTGGATTTGGGCCCAGGACAGATTCCCATCTTCTTAATAATAATGCCATTTCGACACAGGAATCATCAAGTGCCTTTCATTCTGCGCTCTCAGTATAGTGTCCAACACTTTAGATTGAATTTAAAATATCGATCTTCCTGTCTAAATGGTAGAACACTTTTCTTCCTTTGCTTGGTCATGATAACAAAGTTTCTCTTTGTTTTTTCTTGTGTTAGGTGGAACTACATAGAGGGGTCCAAGTTGTTTGCTGCCCTTTTCCTGGAGATTGCTAAGCTACATTCAGGACAGTAGAAACTTCCAGTACTACCTGACCCACTGACAGATCCCCTCTCACACCCCTTAGCAGAGATGACATCTGAACATCCAAAGAAATGTTGATCCAATCAATTATGTTTCCCCTTTCATTTGAAATGCCTTGGGACCTTTGAACCAAGAATACAATATTTGGGAGACAATGGAAATGGTTTAACATGTGATTTAAATCACTCACCTTTCCAAAGTCCCAGCTGCCTTCACCTTCATTTCTCTGAGTCCTGTGCAGTAGTTCCAGGACAGTTCTTCAGTGAGTGAGACTCTCACCTTGCAATACAATGGGCATAATCCCTCCACTTTGCTTTCTAGGTTCTGAAACACCCATGACACATAATTGTTCCACCCAGTGATTGTTAGCACTTACATCACTGTTGCTCTGACCACAGTTTCCTTTTATCTTATTAATAAAAATGTTGATCTCCACCACTGACTACCATGATTTCCCTGTGGGTTCATTTTTAGAGGAGTTACTAAGGCCTGGTGCTGTTTTAACCCCTTTCCTCCCCTTCATTTATTTTCTCTTGCTTTGTGAAAAGTTCTGAAGCTGAAATGATTAAGATTCATACCCTTTGCTATTTGGGATTCCATGTGCAAAGAAGAGTTTTTCTCTTATTCTAAGCTTCTTTATCTTCACCGTGATTGATGCCATCTAATCAGCTCCCCTGCCTCATATTCTTCCCACCCTGTCAGTAAAGGTTCTCTCTTTAACTTTTGCACACAAGTACATTCACCATAGCAAACTTAATCCTGATGGAATTTCTCTCACTCCATTGGAATTTTTCTCAATGACTACATTTAAATTGCTCAAAGCTTTAAATAGCATCAGTTTTAGATAGAAAACTAATCAACCCTGACATCAGTAATACATTCTAAATTTAAAGCCATCACCTAATGCAGCACTCATTAATCATTTTAGTTAACCATCTTGTTTGACTTGATTGGGTTTGATGATGTAAACACAAAAAAGGAATGTAATTTTTATAGTCAAATATATGTAAATAAATCAATTCAATATTTATAAATTCATTATCTAAATCACATTAATGGTGAAGAATTTAAGGGTTTATTTAAAAAGTGTTTCTTTTGTGGTTCCAAATAAAAACAAAATATAACACATTTTCCTTCAATTTTTTTCCATTTCTCTGTTGGTTCTCTAAATGTAAGTTTTAAAGCTTGCTGCATCACATTAAAGATGACCGGCCCATGTGGTCAGTGACTCAGTTTATCCTGACCTAGTGACAGAAATGGGATTGAACTGGGAATATCAGTCTTTTCAGGGAAATTTATTAAGGATTCCAGTTACGGTTTGCTTTGGAAGCAGAGAACTTCCAACTGCCATATCTTTTCTGATGCTGGGGAGCATCAACCCTGCCTGCTATTTTGTGGTATCAGGCACAGTTTGTGCTCTCCAGATTATGCTGTGCTTTGTGGTATTTTAGGTTCTGTTGGACCTACCCGAGGTATTTTACATTGTGTCTGAGGACTAACAAAGCAAAAGATTTATGATATCAATTTATGTTTTGTAAAAAAAGTGTTCATATTGATCAATTGACAAAAGTTTATTATAAAATATGTTATAACCATTTTCTGGGCAATGTAATATCCATTTGATGAAGTCATTAAACAATAATATGTATTTACTTATTCCTGTTAAATCTGTGAGACCAGCAGTGTCTCTGTTAATTATTCAATCACCAAGAAAGAAGGGAAGGAGGATAGTTAGTTATTGAGTGTGTTGAACCTGGAAGATTCAAACCCTGGAGTGTCAGAGTCCAAAATTCATGTTTTGCTGCCACCCAGGATCAGGATGGGTCTCCCTAGTTCTCCTTTCCTGTTTTTCACCCAATTCTAAGCCTCATAGCTCCCCTGGTTTGGTTGTGATATGTGGGAGCCATAAAAAAAAGGTTAACTGAGTGTTATATCCAGAGAGACGGAAAACCTCCTCAGTTATTGATCAAGCCAATTTTCCAGTTATAAGGAGGCAAAAAGTTGGGGGAGAGACATTTAAACATTGGTTTAAAAATTTATCCAAGAAATAAATGCACATGGGTTAAAATGACCACCCAGTCTTTTTAGGGGTATGTTGTGACGTATCAATGCAGGAGGGGAACTTGACTGTACTGGAGGAGGACAAGGCATCTAGTTTAGTTGGTAGAAATAGTGTGCTGACATGTCACTGTTGTGATGAAGTTTAAGGATCATGAACACCAATTGTAGATGCTGTTGCATAAAATAATGGTGACTGGGAATATTTTTGGTTTTGTTCTGTATTGAAAAATAAAGTGCAATGGCTTGGAAGCCTTGCTCAGGTGTCTGTCAGACAGTTTGAGGACACTGGTCAGCGACACCCTTACTCTGCACTTGAGTTGGGAGAGGGAAGTGAGCCACAGACACGTTGAGGATGGTTCTAGGCATCTGCTCACTGGGCCCTCATTCTGGGTGTGCTCGTCACTCCCATGGCCTGTGTGTCATATGAATGCTCATGCAGTCCCCTGTTCTGAAAGCCAGACCCACTGATCCTTCTTGCCTACTCTGTATCTGAAACACTACTCTTCCTAAATGGAAACCTCCACCCATCCCCATATCTGTTTCCTCTTTGGGGGTCCCCATCTTGGCAACTGGGCTGTGGGCAGAATTCTAAATCTTCAACACCTGTCTTTCTCAACCCAATATACTATCAAAACCAACTATCAACGCCATAAGCCAAAACTTCCATAGCTTTTGCTGGGTCATTGCAAAAATAGCCCTCTGCTTACTCACAGTGCCTCTCTCCTGCAGGGCGCACTGCCGCCGCGGTGTCATTGTCACCCATTCCTGGTGACCATGAGGTCTCAGGATGGAGTCTGAGACTTCAAGAGGGTCTCTAGGACTGTAGGATCTTTCCCTGGCTTACTCTTCTGGCTTTGCTTTTCCCTCCTAGATACCCCATCCTTCCAATCCTTCTGGTTTCTCAAGAGCTGCCTCAGAGCCTGCTCTGATTCTTCTCCCCCTCCTGGAACACTCTTACTGCCTTAGGGGTCTGGCTAATATTCCCAACACCTCGTTGGTTGTTCTTCAGATCTCAGCTTAGATGTAACTTTTCAGGGAAATACTTTGTTTCACCCCAAGTTAGGTGTCTCTATTATGCTGTCATATTCTCCTTTGTTCCTTTACAGCATTTATTATAATTGTAATTAAGCACACATTTGTACCATTTTAAAACTGCCAGCTCGCTTGCTAGAGTACAAAATCCTTGAGGATAGAGAGCATGTTTGTTCTGTTTATTGTGGTATCTTCAAAATTCTAGATATATTTATGTCCCCAGGAAATGTGTGATGAATGAAGATTTCAACACCTGTACAATCCATCTGCATGTTTTCTGGAACTTTCATAATTTTTGTTCATTTACCTTTCCCTTAGTCAACTTTCAGCTTTACAACACCAGAATCTTCCCTTTCCAAATGAGAATGCCAGGCACTCAGCAGAGTACGCTGCACACAGTAGGTTCTTGATGCTGAACACAAATATCTTGATATTTGTGCTACAGCTTTTGGGTCCATCTCCTCCAGGGCTGCTCCCCCACCCTGGACTCTGTCTTTGTTCTCTTCTTAGTTTGAAATGTTCTTGAGAGCAGTTAGTTATGGAAGAGGGCACATATAACAGACCATGCAGAGGTGTCCATGCTGTTCACTGTGCAACTTTCCCAGGCAGGAGCAACAGTTTGGTTCACACAGGCTGCAGACTAGCACTCTGTGAGCCCTACATGGATCCCTGTTTGATGTGGCCGTTACAATGTCCAAAATGATTTTGAATCGAATGCCAACATTGAAAGACTGGCAGATTTTACACACATATTTCTCTGGGGTAATCAGAAGATTGAGTAACACTGTTCTGCCATTCCTCCTGGGTGACAAGTTGGGCTGAGGAGAGTGTGCAACCTCTAAGTATCAAGAACCATGCATAATCCATAATATGTGCTCGACAAATTTCTTAGAAGAGGAATAAGAAGTTCATGAAAGAATATAAATGCCATTCTATCTGAATTCGCCTATTGATAGCTACTTTTACTTAAAAACAAATTCTCTCAAGCTCTGTTTTACAATAGGGACAAATGATTTTGAAGTACTATTTTAGTAGATCGTATTCTATACTACTCTAAATGTCAAGTTTTAAATGTATACATTGTTATTTTTATTGTATTTTCAATTCAAATTTGAATATTAATTGATCATGTAATGGCTGATGAACAAACTCGTGATTTTAGGTTTCGATTTACCACTAACTCTCATAATTATAAGTTAACTTAAACCAAGTCCTAATACTTGTATCTTGTCCTGTTCTTCCACCAGCCAGCTCTGTAATGGCACAGTCTATATTGTAGCTCACTTAGTAAGGAATAAACATGATCCTCTTCTTTACTATGTTGACAAGAAAGGAAACTCTTGGGGAGACGGGGGCAGAGGCTGAGTTGGGATGTTCTGCACTTTTCTCAGCTGTCCAAAGTTTCCATTAACGATGAAGTAGAAAGACAGGAAAGCAGGAGATCTTCTGAAGAAAAAAAATGATGTATTTTTTTTCTAGAATGATATAGAAGTGATGGTAAGTGTAATGACTATAATTTCTTAGTGGTTATGATAAGTAAATAAATGCTTCTGAGCTATTTTAGTTTGGGTAGAACTGAAAAAAACTGTCATTATGTGGACAAATTTTATTTTAAAACATTGTTCTAGGGTACTTCCTTATTCCAAATGGAAAACGATGTCAGATAAATTATGCCTTTGACTATAATAGAAAATATCAAGCTTTAAATCATCTCACCTCCCACAGTGAAATTTGCCAAAACAACATTCAGAAAAAGCTAAGATTTAACGTTCCAGTGTGGGTGTTTAAATTTTCAGAGCATATTCTGTTGTTGCAAGTAGGCATTCGACTGTAATCACAAAAATGTTAATTTAAAGGATAGTAGAATTTTATGTGACACTGTTAAAGTGAATTAGTCATAAAAAATGACTAGTCACCAAAAATGACCAAAGCTTCCTTTCAAATTTTAAATAATATATAAAAAAAGAAGGAGGCTATTTAAAGTCTATGTACAGCCTCACTTGCAGAAGCAGAGGGCAGAGTTTTGGCTGCAGCAGATGAAAGTAAGGGGTGGAGTTTTGGAAAGAAGAGGGCCACAGAAGGGAAATAAATGCCACATTTTTACATGCTCTGTGTAAACTACTGGACAATGCTTGGAATATGATGTGTGAAACAGATTCAACTCTTCCAGCTAAGGGTAAATGAAAAATGAAAGTTGCTTATTGTGACTAAGGATGGAGTACAAATATTGCCACAATTGCTTGTTAAAACAAGGCAAATGATCAATAAGAACAACAAAAAACACTCCAGTGCTCAAAAGAGGAACATATTGAAATTGAGTATCTTTACCTTGTATTTTTCAAATGTGTAA